ACTAACTTTACCAAAGTACACCCACTACAAAAATGTAGATTACATCACTGGAAGGGATCCAGGACCCACAGCTGCTGCTCATTGGTGCTGTCCAGGACTCGGGAACCTGCAGTAAGAACTGGAATCCTATAGTGCGGACTGAACTTGGCAAAAAGGCATTTTCTTACTCTGTCCTGTAACCTGGAATACCTTGCAACAAGATCTGAACCTGTCCACTTAGATTTCTTTAAGGGATTTTAAACATTTGATAAGGTCATTAGAAAATAAGCAAACATGTTTTTGTTTTTAGTATTTTACCTTGTTTTATATGGCACTTTGATTTTGTTATAACATTATTGTTGTACAGTTTATTGTTGTTTATTGTACCCATGTGTTGTATCTAAAACAGGTCTCTCTTGAAAATGAGTCCTCGTGACTCAATGAGACTACCTGTGTAAATAAAGGTTAAATAACGAAGGTGTTTCAGATTTAATAAAGACATTCTTTTCTTGACCTGGTGTGCTACAAGAACACAAAGGAAGTGTTTTTCTTATCAGTATTCATCAGGACCATGTTGGTTTGCCTTCAAGCAACACGATCAGAGCTGATGGGAGGAAACATTCTTGAGTGTAAAGATGAAAAAAAGGTTGACGATCAGCCCAATTCATATATTTAAAAGGTTATTTGACACCTTATTCTAGAGAAATAAAGTTTTTGTTTTCAATCATTTGTTTTTAATACAAACGGGAAAACTTTAAGTTCCTCCATTAGAGAAAAAGATACAAGTCAAATCTAGATGTTACAGGTGATTAAAATATTTCATTGATCCCTTTGCATTTTTTTTCAGAAATAAATTGTAGTATACAGTACTTTGAATATTTTGGCATTTTTTAAATCAACAATCACACCGATATTTTAAAAATGTTTCACAACTAATTGAACCCCATTTCTATTTACATCTGGGTTAAACATGTCCTTATCAAGAAATACATTATAATACATTATCATAAAGCCCTGTGGAAACTTTTTTCTAAACATTTACTCTTAAAGAAATGAGCAAAACAGATGGTCATTTTTTCAATCTTATCACACAACTTTCACACATCATCACTCACTTTAACTTACAGCTGTCGTTAGTGTGCGTTTCATGTACACTAATGACTTGCTTTTTAAAATATTAAGCTTTATTTAAGCTCCATCCATCCATCCATCCATTATCTTTACCCGCTTATTCCATTTTGGGTCATGGGGGTCGCCGGTGCCCATGTCCAGCAATCACTGTGCGAGGGGCGGGGTACACCCTGGACGAGTTGCAAGTCCATCACAGGGCCACATAGAGACAAACGAGACAAACAACCATTCACTCTCTCACTCACACCTAGGTAGAATTTAGAGTTACCAATCAGCCTAATGATGCATGTTTTTGTTCTGTGGGAGGAAACCGGAGCACCTGGAGAAAACCCACGCATGCACGGAGAGAACATGCAAACTCCACCCAGAAAGGCCCCTGGACTGGGGTTTGAACCAAGGACCTTCTCGCTGAGAGGCAGCAGCTCTACCAGTTGCGCCACCGTGCTGCCTTCCATTAATATAAAATAGGTAATTTTCAAGTTTGGATTTGATTTAATACTGCCTCCTAGTGACAACTTTATAATTTAAATTAGAAATCAATTCAATTCAGTTTATTTATAATATAAGTTATAAAGATACTGTTGGGGTGGGGGGTCTGATTTGAATCTAAAGATCTCCCATCTGCAGCCAGCAAAAAAATTCCAGCCAACCCATATGTTCTAATAATACATGCCAAGTTGTTATTTCTTATCCAGTGCTGCCACCTTTGGCCAGTTTCTCATCTTCTGTCTCTACTCTGTTTCAGCACCACTATTTCAAGCAAAGCAAAGTGACTTTGACTGACCCAGACCAAGAACAGCTAGATGCACCTTCCTTAAAACTACCATAGTTGTGGCAGAAATTCTCCTTTGACACGCTCTACATTCATCATACACACACAAGAACCAACAATAGAACATAATTAAAAACATTATCAACGTCATAGCCAAATGCTAACTGTAGCAAAACTGTTGCTGAAAGCTAAAATCAACAAAGCAATAGCTAAAAGCTAACATTAGCAACATTTGACGCTAAAAATTAATGTAATCAAAACCTTGGAAAATTGCTAAAATGTAGCTAAAAACCTAAAATCTAATTAAATGTCACGAGAAGGTAGAATGTCCTAATTCATAGCTAAAAGAAACTATAGCAAATGTATAGCTAATTGTTAAAATTAGCTAAACTGTAGCTAAATCCTGAATGTAGCGAAACAGGTAAAATGAATCAACTCTTAGTAAAGTTATTAATTTTCCTTTTGGGTGAATAAAGTTATTTTAACTAAAAAACTATCATTAGCAAAACATTTGCAATAAGCTAAAATGTTCTAATAACTAAAAGGTAAATTTGAAAAAGAGCTGAACATATTCAAGCAAGAAAGCAGCTAAAACCCAAAGGCGCCAAATCAGTTACTAAAAGCTAAATGTAGGAAAAATAGCTATTTTCAAATAACCGATTAAAGCTAAAATATGCTACAGCATAGCTAAATGCTAAATGTGGTAAAACAGTAGCTGAAAGCTAAAATTTGCAACATATTAGCTAAAATAACAAACTTCCATTTGAGGTGAATAAACATTTGTTTTGATACTGAAAAGCCAACATTAGCAAAACAACTGCTACAAACTAGCCTTTAGATAAAAACTTTTTTTCCAAAATGTAGCTAAAATATAACTTTTTATAAAATGTCAGTAGAAGCTAGAATTTGCAAGTTGAGTTAAAAGCCAAATTTAAAAATTCTGTAGCCAATAGCTAAAATTTACTAAAGCATAGTATCAAAATTACATACTACATAGCTAAATGCAGCAAAAATGTAGCTATAAGCTAAAGATTTCAAATCAGTTACTAAAAGCTAAATGTAGAAAACGAGCTAGAGTTCGATTAAAGCAGACTAAACAGGGCTAGTGTGAATGCACCCTTAGGGTAGCCCTGTTTAGTCCGCTTTAATCGGACTCTAGCTCGTTTTCCTTGAAAGTCCGCTTCGTTTAAGGAGGTGTGAACGCGCCATCGAACTCTGTCACGGAACAAAAAGGCGAACTCTGGCCCGGGCTAAAACCTAGGTCTCGGTCCGGTAGAAGAGAACTCCAGCGAGGTTCGAGTACAGTGTGAATGTAAACAGACAGATAAACAAATGCATTTCTCTGACCTTATATGGAGCCGTCAGCTGCCTTGTGTGGAAAAACAATATTCTCCATGGTCTTCTGTCTCATGCTAAGTCCATTTTTGAAAAATGACAAAATATAACTCCTAAAACTGATAAAACTTGATGCCACTGTTTTTATTTTTATTTACAGAAGAAGAAGACGTGTCTTCAGAGGTTTTTGGGTCGTTTCTTTCAGTAGTTTGGTGCAGCGCCCCCACAGGCGAGCGGGGGAACAGGTTGGTTCAACAGGTTGACTCGACTGCACAGAGCAGTGTGAATGCAAACGCACCAGCTCAAATGTAAACAAAAGGTCATGAATATTGGTCCCGAACTGAGTCTACCGAACTATCAGGTGTGAAAACGACCTTAGATTGAGAACTTTACTAATCAGCTTTTCTATGTGAATGTTCTTGTAAAATGCCCTGAGACAACTTTGTTGTGATTTGATGCTATATAAATAAACTGAATTGAAAACTGGACTAATTTGCTTTCGATCTGCATTTTTATTCAAAATCCTCAGCTGGAAAATCAGAAAATTAGAAGTTAGACAACTGTGCTTAAACTCTGCATCTGCAACAAATGTCTTTTCTTGCACTTCAGTAAAGTTATTCAGACATATTGGGTTTGTTTATGTTCAGCCCTTCATTTTAGACAGGCATCAACTCTTGATGTTTGGCAGTCTCATCTTTAAAAGGCATCTTTAAGATAAGATAGAATTTTATTGATGGCTTTTAATACTGCATGTCGACACTTCTGCATCATTTTAGTATGGCAACTTGTGTTCAGCATTATTATTTTTTACTATCGTTTTATGTGCAGCACTTTGGCCAATGGCAGATATATTTTTTAAAGTGCTATTTAAATTAATTTAATTTCATACGAGGCTTTAAGAAAAAAAAAAAACATTTCAATTTCATACACAATTGTTTTTTGAAAAAAAATAATTTAAAAACATTTTCAGATGTTTTATGGCACCGTTACTCTGTATACAAGATCGGAATAATGGTTTTATTACCTTTTCCCCTAAATATATTATAAGTTATATATTAAAAATGAAGATTACAAAAACAAATGTAAAAACTTTATTCAATCATGTAAAAAAAAAGCTGATTTGAATCTTTCAAATGTAAATACAAGCATATTACAAGTACAGCTAATTAAATCACTAAAAAGTAAATAAAATTAATAAAAATTAAACCATTTTCTCATTTGTATTGCAAAAAAAAATTACTTTTACACAACAGGAATGTAAAGCCTGCTGAAAATAAAAACAGGCTGTCGTCTGGGTTTTTCCTTGACAGATAATACAAAAAATATAAATGCAAAAACATTGAAATAATACTAAATAAAACATGTGGAGAGGCAGACAACAGAGTCTCTGTTCAGTAGGACAGCCACCAAGGAGCTGACTTTCAAATAAAAATAAGAAATAAACAAAATGTTTCCATTTCTGTCTTATTTCAAACATTGCAACTTAAATATTAACCATTCAGCAGGACTCATTTTACAGTATCTGATAGTACTTTAAAACAAGCAGTGCAGATTAGATGTAGAAACCATTAAGTAAAACATATAATTCAACATTTTACCAAGACAAAAAATGTGAAGCTTTTGATGGAAAACTTTCACAAAACAAAAAAAACCAGCTAAATGAACACTGCAGACCTTACAACTGTGGTGACTTTTTTTATTGAATGTAAAATAAATCACGCTAAAGGCTGATTTTATATACAGTATATATATTTAAAACAAGGCATTATGGAGACGACGATCCGCTACAAGTTTATGAAATCATGAACTGTACTACTCATGATAATCCAAACATTATGAAAATAAACTGAGCTCCTGTAGGTTTTCACTCTAAATTTCCCCACGTCTACAAAACAAAAAAGCAATAATGAAGATTAAATACATCTCTTGTCCTGTATAAAACACAAGGCAACAAATTATCCCACCACCACAAATTATTTTTTGTTAAACTCTGCTCGATAAACTTGGATTTTATTTGCACTTACCCGAACAGTTTCCAGTTTAATGTTGCTTTACGTTGAAATTACTGAATAAACTAAACATTACAACTGAAATATGCACATTGGCCTAAAGCAGCCGCAAAACACAATGTTCATTTCTAGCAGAAATGAACATTACCTTTCAGGAATTCAAAAAAATTCTCATATTTGAAATCAAAGTCAAATCACTTGTTTGTGCACACAAACTTGGTCAATAAAGGTGTGTCTATTTTGTCAGCTTGTTTCAGTCTGATTAACTTAGCAGGGGAAAGACAGTTCACGTCCTTTCGTTAACATCCTTTTGTCGCCCTCCACTGAGCCTGTAGCATTTGATGTTGGAAAAACTGGTTAGACAGAACAGATAAGGCATGCAGCTGCAACATGTAAGATCTAGAGATTAAGCTTGTCCAGCTGTTTGTTTTTCCCTTGCCCTTGATACTTAAAGTAGAAAGCGATAATTATTCCACCTTTAAAGTCTTGCTGTGAATACAACGCCTGAACATTTCAACAATCATAAGCTGAAAAGAAATGATCTTAGTTTGAAAACGATGCAACAGTGATGAAAAGACCTTTAAGTAATTTGTTTTTTCCCAATCATGTTTGAAAAATGTCCATTAATTCAACCCATTTCAACTTTTTTGCAAACCGAACAATGTAACAGTAAACACAGCGTTTATTATTTTCTGTGGTGATTCAGTCAACACAGCTCACAGCTGTCACCGACTGAACAGAACACTCGTCAACACATCATTAAATTATTTTAATTTTCATCATGTTGAGGTGTTTTACTTTTTAAAGCCAAATGGCGCTACGTTTCAAGATTTATTTTGTCATCCCTGCAATCCTCTATGAGAACTGAACATTGGAGACGAAGCAAAAAAAAAAAAGTAAAATTACACACTTTCCCATAAGAGTATGGGGCGAGGGGATCGCTCAGAGCTCTTCCATTAAAAAAATTCCAAATAAAACCGTTTTGTTTTCGGAGTGTTTTCTTGATGTGGCACAGCTTTTCCACTCTGATGCGCAGCATCATTAATCAGCTCGATCTCTAGAAGACAAAAGATTGAAGTGGGTTAGTAAAATGCTCTGATTGCTCAGCAAGAAAAGCGGCTGCAGAGTTGAGGATGGGACATCTGCTTTTTCAGCTGTTTAGAAATGTTGGGTTGGGCTTATTGCGTAACAATGATCTGAAAGAACAGACCGATGCTGAATCCCAGCCAGAAATGCATTGGTTAGTTTCAACATGTACCTTAGATTTGAGCAAGTGCTTCTTGTTTGTCTGCTTCAAACTCTCCTTCATTTTCATCATCCCCATTGTAGTCAGCCAGCTCCTCCTCCATGTCCTTGTCTAACAGATATTAAAAGGTAAAAATTAACGCGTCATTTATTTCTCACATTTAAATCCCATCTTCCAAATAAACTATAATTATAATTCACAGATTATATTAGTCTAAATCTGTAAATCATCACATGTACCTATATTTTCTGCTGGTTTACCCCTCTGTTCTTTCTCCAAATCCATTCCACCCACCACCTGATCATCTGCATCATATTCCTCTGGTTCTTCAGGTTTCTGACCTACAAGTGTCTCATCTGGCATCCCTTGATCAATCAACATACCCTCCATGCCAGGGTCAGCTTCTAGAAGAGCAAACTGCTGTTTACTTTCAATAAACTTGAACATAATCTCAATCACAGTCAGATTTATTCAATAAAGTTTATGGCAAATTTTAAGTAGGTACCAGGACAACCTAGAAACTTTCTGCACACCAAACAAAGAAACTATGTTTAGAATTGTTTCAAACATTACACAGATGTAGTTTCAGTTTAATCCTGGCATACAACTGATTTCAAGGTATTATCTAGAAAAAAAGCAAACTGAAATCATTTCTTACTTCTCTGATTCTACTGTATGGAGGAAAACAAAACATCTGCCAGAGAACCTGACATTTACCTTTTGTCTGAGCTCCTTCATCGTGAGCATCCATCACCTCCATGTCTTTATCCTCAGTCAGATTATTATTCAGATCTTTGCTGGTCTTTGCCTCAGTTTCATCAGTTCTGATGTCTTCGTCTCCAAGCTGCAGTTTGTTCTTCTTCACTGTAGAAGCTAAAGAAACAGACTTGATCGCCATTTTAGAGAGATCCTTTGTTGGAGACTGTTCAAAAACTTCAGAATCTGAAAACAAATAAAGCAGACTTAAGAATAAATGCAAGATGCTAACTGCTTTATTTGCGCAAATAAACAAAATATTTACTTGGATTGCATACGTTTAAGTTAAATCCTTCTGTCAAATAACTCAAGAAGCAAAACACTCCGTTCTTTCCTACCTTGATCAATGATGATATCATTAGTGAATGAATTTGGGGTTTCGTTTTCTTTAAGCTGAGGGCTGCTTGACGTGTGATTTACAACTGTTGTAGTTTGATCTTCACTGGGTACAATTTTGACAGTTGTCTCTTCGTTAACCGTTTCCTTTCCTGTGTCTTTCTGCTGAAGGGTAAATAACACCAGACAACAAATAAAAACCGTTTAATAATATGCTGCAAATCTTTCTGCCCTTCTAATTGGTCTCTTGGACGCATAAAACATCTACCTTCCTTCTCTGCATCATGTCAGCCAGCTCTCTACCTTTGCCAGTCATTGTCCCCACATTTAGAGTTGCAACCCTCAGTCCTACATTAGTTACTTTCCTCTTCTCCCTCTGCCTCCTGACACATTTCCCTCCTTGTGGCCTTCGAGTAACAGAAGCACAATTTCTGTCGGCACCTTGTTTGTCAACAGCATCGGTTGTGATTGTTGTTAACCCGGGCCTTGACTGATCCAGTATGGTGTCACTTATATGAACTCGATTATTATTATTATTATTAGTTTTGGCAAAAGTATTTTCTGTCAGATGCCCTTCCTGACACAAACCTCACCATTTACCCAGGCTTGGAACTGGCACAAGAAATAAATGGACTTGAGCTCTCTAGCAGCTGGGTTTAAATCACAGAAAACAAGCATATGTTTCTGGATTTAGTGGATTTAGAGTGCAGAGCTGATAAATGAATGGACTGATGCCCTGATCCAAAACATTTGGAATGACATTACTATGAAAAAGTAAAACCATCTTACCTGTGCAGAGACACTTGAAGGAAGTTTGAGTTGCTCTATTTTTTTCTGAACTTCAAGTTTAGCAGCAGCCACTTTCTCATCACACAACTCCATCTGAGTCTGGACCCTGGATTCACACTGAGTCCTGCAAAAGAGCACAGAGAAACAATGTTTCTTTAACAAAAATAGACATGCAAAAAAGAATAGGACTGAGGTAATTTATAGTGGCAGAAGCCTGCATTAACCAGAGTATCAAGTAATATAAAGAGAATGAACATTTGACATACCGGCACAAACTTAAAATAGCTGAGTGAAGCTGACACCCCACCCACTCCCAAAATTAAAGCAAATAGTCTGAATGGTTAGTGCTCCGTTAGTGCTGGTTTGTGCCGTTAAAATTTTCGTTAGTGCTGCTTTGCTTTCTGAGATATTAAAGATTAATTTTTAGCTCATCCAAAGGTCACAATCCCCCCATGTTGCTCCAAAACACACGGGAGTGGTCTACTTTTTTAGTGCTTCGTTAGTGCTTCGTTAGTGCTCGTTTGTTCCGGTGAAACTAGCGTTTGTGCTGCTTTAGTTTATGAGATATTAAGAATTATAATTTCGCCCGATGACGTCACCATCCCCCCCTGACGTGTGCGTGAACGCGCCTGAGGACGCGTGAACGCGCCTGAGCGTCTATTACAGGTCAAAATTATAACTTTTAATATCTCTTAAACCAAAGCAGCACAAACGAAAATTTTAACGGCACAAACCAGCACTAACGGAGCACTAACCATTCAGACTATTTGCTTTAATTTTGGGAGTGGGTGGGGTGTCAGCTTCACTCAGCTACTTAAAATGTGTAAATATTAATAATAAAAACTTCTTACATGTCATAAGTTAATTTTTTGTTGAGGCTGTTTATGTTGTCTTGGCAACTCTGCAGCTCTTTCTGAAGCCTTCCCAAGTCATCATTCAGCTGATTCACAATACCTGCAACACAGACAGGCACATAAAAAACAAACACACACAAAAAAAGTATGTCTTTATTCAACACACTTCTACAAGTTGTTGTAATTCAGCTTTTGAGAAGTAGAGTTTAAATTTAACCTTTGAGTTCCTGAATTGTTTTAGTGCTTGAGGAAATGTTCTGCTGCAGTTTGGCCTAAAAAAAAAAAAATGAATAAAACAAAATTAACAGTTGTTTTTCTTTTTATATCAAAATGTGTTTCATTTGACCTATTAGACATAAACAACTCTTTAAATTCTAATCTTATTTATTACAACCATTTAGACAAAGAGCAGTTTGATTGTTTACCTTGTCCTGGCTGCAGGTGAGCTGGGCTCCATCTATTTGTCTCTTGTAAAAGCTTTCTATCTGACCCTTCTGTTTCTGGACCTCTTGGAACTCGCTCTTCTTAATCTCCCTCTCTGTTGCCCCACGTCTCACTTGGCCCTCCAGTTCATACAGCTTGGTCTGCGAGACACATACACGATTAGATCAGCTCATGGAACACCGTCATGTCAACCATTTGTACTCATTTCTTATTTTGACACATAGACACAAATGCTTTGAACCTTTTTAATATCGGAAATGATTAAATTGATTAAAAAAAAGACACTGATTAAGTTTTTGTCGTGTTTTTTTCATTGCAGCTTATTACCAAAGCAGTTAAAAAATGTGTAACAAGAGTTCTTTTGGTTATGGAAAATAAGATTTGTTGATAGGTCAACAAAAGGTCTAATATTTGTAGAGTATGTCTGTTTAGTTTGACAAGTCATGCTTCTCTTCAGATGTTGATGCTGCTGGTGTGCTTTGACATCGTCTCACAATCTTGGGTTAGATTTATTCTGCCACTTGGAGCCGCATCATTTCTGTGATTTTCTGCTCAACGTTATGCTAGTTTTGGGTTGCAGCAGTCATTGACATCCTTGTTTTTTAACTGCAAATACTGGACTAAACTTGAAAGAAAATGATAAATTGCTTCCCAATGACCGAGGCACATAAATTATAACTGTCCTTCCTGTTTTTTAAAACAGATCTTGGTTCAGCCTCTTTCTGTAAAATAGGAACTAGAACATAACGTGAACAAGCTCTCTAAGAATCAGATGTTGAGGCTAAAAAAGAAATGCACATTACTAAACAATACCCTGAAAACACTGAAGACCACTTGATGACATGTGATAAGTGACAACACCTTTGTAGCTCAAGTACTGGTGTTGCAAGTGAGCATCAACAAAACAATCAGAACATTAGTTTTATTATCAGATGGAAGATGAATGGTAAACAGCAGGTTTAGGTAGACCATGGAAGAAACAAGCTATAATTTCAAAAAGCAGAAGTTGATTTTAATTTCTACGATTCTAACAAAAATGTTGATTAAATTCCCTACAGTTCAAAACGTTAAAAAAAATCACAGACAGGTGAAAGTCAGCTTACCTGTAGCTCCAGGTTGCGGGAGCTGGACACCCAGTAGTTAAAGCCCAGGACTAAAATACAGGCGATTAGGGCTGAAATAATCAGAGGGGGGGATCTTCCTCCTCGACGGCCATTTCCCAACCCACCCATAGCTACCTAAAATTGGGCACAAACACACAAATCATTAGCAAAGTTTGCAAACTCATCATCAAATTTCTAAATTAAAGTTTAAAACAAGTCTTTATGTCTGTACATGACATTAGACAGATCCTGTAGTGTATAAATCAATGCAAGACAATAAAAAGCTTAGTTAGGCCTAAAATAAGTCCAGCTACTTTTATGAATCTCATATTTCAACAGGTTTGTTTCCTAAAGCGAGCAAAAACAAAAAGGACTGCACAGATACCACAAAACATTTAATACTTTGAGAAATACTCGTAATTATTTATAAAACTTGTCACTTTTACAACAAAGAAAATTTGACTGCAGAGAGAATGATAATAAAGGCAGGATAATTTTATTGATTTATAATATTTGAACAAAACATCTAAAAACATTTAAAATATGTTAAAAGACAATAAGACAAGATATTTAAACAAAGAAGAGTCCATGCACCCAGAGGACCTGTCACAACCTTGTTAGATTTATCTACCTGGATTATTGAGCATGCATCAGGACATTTTTAACCGCTTTGGTTAAGATTGCCTCAAACTAGTTTGAGAGTTTGAGTAAACAGCAAGGAAGAGGGCGGACTACAGGAAACACCTGAGATTCAACCTCCGATGCATACAGAGTGGCACCTTTCCCCAAGAGTGCAATTCAATCTTCTGTCGGTGGGCACCAAGCAAGCAAGATCCTTCAGAAGGCACAGACCCAGCTGCTGAATGAACGAGTGAGACAAACCAATTTTACCATTTAAGATTTAGAGGCCAAAGAATCAGACCACATTTCAGCAGGTGATGGATTTCACAAAAAAGCCACATGTAGCACAGCACGTCAAGTCCAAGACCCGACAACAAAAGAAATTTAATTTACTGGCTACTTGTCAAGCCCATCTCGATTCTAACACACGCAATGGCAGACAACACATTGGTAGACAATCAAGTGTCAGACAGAAAAGTGTGTGAAGAATTTGCCCGACAGACAGCTCACCCAGCCGGAGAAAGAGATACTTGCCAGATGACTGAATTTTGCTGTTGCACCAAGAAGAATTCCTCCAAACAAGGTGTACCACTGAGTAACTCTGTCTCTTACAATGTTTCCAAATATCTGGCGTCTGTACTCATCCCTTTAGTTGGCAGCTCAGAGGACCACATACAGAACACCATGGACTTTGTGGACAAGGCGAGGGATGTCATCATGGAGACTGATGAAACAATGGTCTCTTTTGATGTCACATCACTCTTTACGTGCACTCCTGATGATGATGCAGTAGAGGTGGTCGGTTTAAGATTAAATCAGACACCACTCTGAGCAGCAGGACCACGCTTTCTACAGAGCAACTGTGTCAACTCTTGAAACTGTGCCTGCAGTCTACCTACTTCACATATGGGGAGCAATATTATAGGCAGAAACATGGGTGTGCTATGGGGTCTCCAGTTTCCCCTATTGTTGTCAACCTGTATATGGAGGAAGTAGAAAAGAGAGCCTTGGTGTCCTTTTCAGGGACACAGAGTCATTGGTTCAGGTATGTTGATGACACCTGGGTTAAAATTAAATCTCAGGAACTCCCAACATTTCACTGATCACATCAACTCTATGGATAAATATATAAAGTTCACACTAGAAGATGTCAAAGATGACTGATAGGCTTTCTTTGACTGTGAGGTCAAAGTCTCTGCTGGAGGACATTTGTAAACTGAGGTTTACTCCAAACCCACCCACACAGACCAGTACTTGCAGTCTGACTCCTACCACCCACTGAAGCACAAGTTAGGAGTCATCAGGACTCTGTACCACAGAGCCGACAGCATCCCTACTAACGCAAGACCCAGGGAGAAGGAGAAATTCCACACAAAACAGGCCCTGGAGCAATGTGGATATCCTAACTGGGCCTTCCTGAAAGACAACAAGAAACCCAAACAGAACTCTGGCCGGCAATCAGGTGAAAAGGAGGAACCCAGACCAAGAGACCAGTGGCCATTCCATATGCTGTAGGTGTTTCAGAGAAAACAGATGTGTTTATTTTCTAAACACGACATCTCAGTAGCTTTCAAACTCCAAAATACATTACGGCAAAGGCTGGTTCATCTCAAAGATCCAGTCCCCCGGCACAAAGAGAGTAAGGGTGCATTCACACCAGCCCTGTTTAGTCCGCTTTAATCAAACTCTAGCTCGTTTTCCTAGAAAGTCCGGTTCGTTTGGGGAGGTGTGAACGCGCCATCGAACTCTGGCCCGGGCTAAAACCTAGGTCTTGGTCCGGTAGAAGAGAACTCCAGTGCGGTTCGAGTACAGTGTGAATGTAATCGGACCGGGCACCGCCCGAACCGAGTCTACAGGATTATCAGGTGTGAAAACAACCTAATATTGTGTATGCTCTGCTCACATATGATTGTGCAGCTACCCATCCAGGCTGTCACATTGTAAAGTTTGCAGATGATACAGCGGTGGTGGGATGCATCACAAACAATGATGAGTCCAGCTACAGGCAAGAGGTG